ACATCGCACTCATTCGGGGGTGTAGGTCAATACCTAAATACCTTTGTTAACTCATTTACCAGAACCATTGGGCGCCTTACTTTACAGCGACTGACATAATCAATAGGTATCCATGAATCTCGACAAAAGACAACTACATTTCGCCTCTTTAGCCTACATAGAATTTCTGTAGCCCAACGAATCTCACCCATTTTGTCTTGTTGTCGAGAGCGAATGCAAAACAAACATTTCTTCAAATTTAAAAGGTAAAAATTTCGCTATTAAAAATTTACAAATGTTCCTAAAACTTGCAAAGAAATTTGGAAAAGAAATATCACTGTTTTTGTTTTTTAGGGGTAGTCATTGATAAAATTAGAGTGAGAGAAAGTTTTTCTTACAAAACCTATGGAACGGCACACACTTTTTTCTCAATTGCTATTACGAATGGCTGCTTCTCAACCAGTCAGATCTGTTCTAATTGGTTCATGGGCTTTAGCGTTGGCATTTGTTTGACAGAAGGCGCGTTAAAAGTATGCTTGCTACAATGAACGTAAAAAATTTGTCCAAGGTCAAAGGTAGCACAAATTGCTTTTTCGCAGTTTTCAGCAAACCGGGAAGGTTTGTCACAAAAATAGGTGAGACGAAAAGGTAGATTGTATCCTTGAATGTCTCACTTGACCGGGCTAAGTATATATATATAGTATGCTTTGGTACGAGTATAATATAATGTATGTATATAATAAATATGATTGATGATGACCATAATGATTTGGCAATGTGAAATCCTATTTTAACAAGTTACAAAAAAATTACAAAGACACCAAAGTGTTGTGAAATTCATATCGGTAAAATACATTTATTGAATAAATCATGAATACTGCGTTCGTATTCCAATTGTGCTGCATACTAATTGTATATGTATTTACATTTATATGTTTGTATGGATTAATAAATGTACATTTGTTTGATTATTTTTAGAGTTTTGGTTTAGCAATGCGTAAGTATTGTATATATTTAATACCTGATATATTATTTTCCGAATATCAAGTGAGGGACATTACTTTCATACAAATAGTATCTATGTAAAGTATGCGTATGGATTTTTAATATTTTGTATTAGCAATGTTGAGTGGTAATGCACTTATTTATGCATGTTTCATTGCAGTAGTGTATTTATAAGTTGTGTGTGTATCGAATTAACTGATAGGTTATTTTACTACAGAAATTATACATTATACTTATTATCTAGTGAGATTTAGAATTGAATAGCAAATTTTGAAATTTCGACTAACTACATATCCGATTTCGAAGCAAGAATTCCATTCTGTTTTTTTTTTTTTAAGCGTTTTAAAATTTATACATACATAGTTTTATAAAAAATATTTCATCCGATTCTCGAAAGGATTTGTTTATAAATATGTATATTACAATCCAACGCTTTGAATACTTTGATATAAGAATAGGTACTACATATGGATGTAGATGTTTAGCACATCAATGTCACACAGTTGAGAAATACTTTTCCAAATAAAATTGCATAAACGAATATTTAATTCGTAGTGTCAGAGAATTTATTTTTATAAAAAAATGTATCATTGGTTGCAAACAAATATGTCTTGTTACTATTATTTTACTATTTTAAAGTATGTACATACGTACATATGTATATATTGCAGAAGCTACATACTACATTTGTATGTATGTAACTAGGGTTATTATTGTGTGGTTCTGTAAGTATTCTCTATTCCTAATATGTATGTTTTATAATTACGTTTTTTTAATTACATAAATAAAATGGATCGGAATAAGTGTTTTAAAACCTAGCATTGTAAAAGTATGTAAATACAACGTTATTCAGATTATCGTTACCAAAGAAAGTGTTAGATATAAGTATGTAAATTTACTAAAAATTAGAATTCCCAAAATACAACAATTACTGCAGTAATTAAAACTTACTAAAAATTACTTGTAATGTAAATATACCCAGCTTGGGTGTGTATACATACATGCATCGTCCAAAATTATTTATTCATCCTCCATAGAGTGGTGTTGTCTATTTTATCGAGTTTGAGTTTAGCTTAATACCAACTTTCCAAGCAACATCTCTCTGTAACTGTGAAAATGTACAAATGTACAAATCATGTGATCCCTACTTAAAATGCCTAATTTATAAAATAACTCCATACATTTTCGATGAAAGAAAAGCTTAATAAGGGACTCCATTAACATATTAGTAGCATTCGCGTATTGTTAGGTTTTGACAACTTGATAACTGATGCAGTAACACCATACGCAATATGGCCATTTTGTTTTGGAAATAAAACCATATGACGTTATTTTCAATCCAGAAGTGAATTAAAGTTATATTCAAAGTTGTACAAATGAGTAATAAAGTCATAATCGATTCAACTAAAAATGCGTGTCTGGCCACACTGTTTGTGGATCACACATTTTTTATGTTAACCCAAATCGACCCCGTGTTGCCATATGGCAACGAAAAAAAAACAGCATGTATGAGAGGATGTAAAACAAAAACCGCTTACTTAAAAATGCTTATACGTACGTTAACAATTTGCTAAAAGGTGTCTCTTTTGAAACGCTTAAGCTCAAAATACAATAGCGCAGTGGCAGTGACAGTTTTTAAAATCAGCTGTAAAGCTGATGCCAGATACAACTTTGCAGCTTTGCGTGACATTTATAACACCGGATTTACATGATTCAAGTACTTGAAAGCAATTCTTGTTCATTCTCTTTTGTGTTTTCTATTTGCTTTTACACGTTTCAATTCTGTTGAATTCAAGTTTTTGGTTCTTTAAATGGGAAGCAACGAAAATGCCAAAAGCAAAGCACGAAAGTTGAAACGACTTGACGGCACAGACGCATGTGTACTCGTCCCTTTTCTTCTCACCCCCTCTCTTCCACATGCGAGCAGAATTGAATTCAATACTTGAACTGTGTAAAAGCAGTCTAACTTTGCCAGCAAAGCGCCAGATGCAAAATGTATGCCACAATGAACGCCAAGAAAACAATTTTGCACTGCGTTTTTATTCGTCAGAATTACTGTGGATTTTATACATTTTGCCTTAAAAATATCAGCAATGTAATTAAGCGTTATGTTTCTACATGAAAACTCGAATTTGGATAAAAATAAATAAATAATAAACCGGAGAAATGAGGACTATACATATATGCCTTTTTAAATGTTCACAGCTCATAAAAAATAAAAAATTGGAGCAATATTTTGTTGTAATTTATGGCAAAAATACACAACAAATACACGGGTAATTTTGTGTTAATACATACTTGAAGAAATCGTCCGATATATTCGGCATTAACATTCATTACCATATTCGGTATTAATTTCCATGCAATCGTTCTTAAATAAGAGAGTTCTAGTTACACTAATTGTGCGTGAAAAAGCGATATTTCTAAAAATATAAAAAAAGAATATGTTCATCCTAATACATAAAATACTTTTATATACACCCAGTGCCAAAACCAGGTATGCACTCCCCCGAGATTTTCCCCAAAAAATTTAATAAATTTCATGATTAGGAGTTTTGCACAAACCGAATAAAATTAATTTTAGTTGATAAAAAATAAAAGAATTAAGCTACAGTTAGTAAAACTTGTAAGTTTTTCATAAAAAATTAAAGATTAAAAAAAAAATACTAAGCTTTAAGATACCGGTTTTCAGTATGCCATATTTCATGGACACAATTTTTCGAAATACTTTGATAACACTTTTTTCTTAGTTCAAAAAGTGAGCGGCATCGCTTGTAGACGACTAAAAAACTGTTCTAATTTAAATCCATTAGTACACTACTTTTTACTCCCATTAAAAAATGAAACTTTAGTTATTTACATATGAGGTCATGAAAGCCAAGGAAAAATGAGAAAGAAGGATCTATAAATAAAAAATAAGGTCTTTTTCTGGCAGCTTCATTGTACCTATCTATTCTAGTAAAAGAAAACTAAAAGGGGGTATCTCAAGCTGTTCTTGTTTCTATTGGAGTAATGCATTTTATGCAGTACCTCATTTTTTTATTTTTTTTTTTGAAATTTCAGTAAGGTTACTCTGGCTCTCAATGCCCCATATATCATGAACCAACTAACAAGATCACGCAATCGGAAAAGAATGAAAAAAGTAAATTTCTGAGCGTTTTTGACATCTGCCTAAAGCTTAGTATCCAGCTCTTAAGAAAACGGTCAAGAAAAAATTGCCATTATTTCGCGTGTGTGTCCAAGGAATTTTGACATTTTTTATACCTCACAGCCTGTTGCCTCACTCTTTCCTCAAGAAATAATGGAGCGGGCATATATTTCTGTTGCAAACCTGGGTTGCCTTGTGCTCTTTTTTCACAAAAAACTTTAGAAAACCGTAGTAGAAAGCGTACTAAATTTCTGAAGAACTGCGTACTGCCTTAAGGAAATTTGACTCAAGAAAATTTCTTAGCCATTTCTTGTACGTCATTTTATATGGAGTTTTTGCTTTTCTTAAGAGCTGGATACTAAGCTTAAAAATGAAAACAAACAAAGAAAACGAAAAAGGCGCGGTTATTGAGTGCGATTAGATTTGTATTTATTATAAAATATAAAAAGTGAAACTTGATGACAATCAGCGAAAAAAGTTCATAAAATATGGTTTTAATGATTGAGAGTGTTTTACAATCGCATATTATCGGCACCGGCCGATTTTTCAATGCCAACGTTCTGACCACAAATGTGCACCCACTTTTCACGCAAATTTACGCCTCTTGGCAAATCAAACAGACGCACAAACTTGTTCCAATCACAAAGCACTTCATATTATATCATAAATTTGTAATAAATCAAAATTTCTAATTAAAACCGCTGCAGAAAACACATAAAATCGCTAAAATATCACTACGAAGAGGTAGAAGACGATGTAAACAGAACCAAAAAACATCAAAAACGCTACGAAAACTTTTTTCTGAAAATCGATTACAAATACAACGATGGCGGATTACGTGATCTGTAGTCGTTGGTTCATGCCCATATATACATACGTATGTTGCCAGTGAATTTGACGTATTGAAAACAAACCTTTAGTTTTCTAACGTTATTTCGTTCTTCTAAAATTCGATACAATTGAGGTGTTTAAAGAAATTTTAATTAAAATTAGTGCTTGAGGAGATGCCTTTGTTTTGGCACGCGGTGCAGTATAAAAAAGTATGTTTATTTGTATGTACATTAATATATGGTTTTTAATATCATTTTCTAATAAATATGGCGGCATATCTATAAAAATCCCTTTCACGCCTAATCGAAAATTTAATTTTTTTTTTTTCGAGAGGATCCGCAAGAATTGACTGATGATACAAATATTATTATTATAGATCTACTAAAATTACAAGCCAATTTCATCTTTCTTTCATTAAAATTATACACACATTTTCTAAGGCGCAAACAAAAGTTTGATATAAATAAATATAGCAAAACTTTAGGCCTCATTAAGCTTAATACTTAGAATCACTGATTTTTTTTCCAATATTAGCTGCAACTTTAAACCAATAATTTGCTTATTTTAAACGTTGTGTAACATTTGCCAAGGCGACAGCGAACGCTTGTAATGCGGAAAACGGATATTGGAAATCTAGTGTGTATGCGTTGCCATCGATTCGTCCGAATTGCATAACCTATACAAATTTCGATTCCAATGAAAGAATATTAATAAAAAAAAATATTTTATAGTAGGAGAACCGACAAGGGCACGACCTTCCACCAGCTGTTAATCATGAATCAAATCTACTTTATATGAAATTTAACGTGTTAGGAAATACATACATATGTATTTCGCGAGTGGGTTGACTGAAAAAATCCTGGCCAGGATATTTTTAATTAAATATTCAAAGATTGTATTCAAATATTCAAAAACTGTTTTTTTTATGTTTGAATTTGGCACTCATCTACATATTTAATGTACAAATTATATAAGGAATGTGAAAAAAATGGGTTGTCTATTTTTTCCCCGTTCTACCTATCTGGTTGGCATGTTTAAATAGGTAAGTAATTCTAGTCATTTTCACTCATCTGTTCAATGAATAAATCTTGTATCAAAATAAAGAAAATTGTATTGCGAACACGAGGATACAAGGTTCTGCGAAAAACCTGACCAAAATTCCGGTTGGCTAGCCCTTTATGAAATGCTGTAAACGTTGATCTCAGTATCGGAGCCAAACTTTAATTTAAATTTTTAGACAAACCCACTTTCGCACTTTCGTTTCGTTTTCTTTTTTTTTCTTTAAATAGATATTATTTTGACAAATGAGAGCACGCTGTCAATTTCAAGACTTGTGAGTGAAATATCGGAATCAATTATGTTTTCTGTTTTTTTTTAGCTATTTTTGAACAACCATATTTAATGCCGAATTTCCACTAGGCATCGACATGACAAAAAATGTATGCCATTTTAAAAAATGCCATATGGAAATTAACTTAATGACTATTTTTTTAGTGTCATTTTTCATTGGTCATTTTTGCTATTTAATGCCTAGTGGAAAACCAATATTAGTTAATAACTATCCACGCTTTTAAGATCTATAACTAACAGGATCAGTGATCAAAAGTGAAAAAAAGTGACAGGTGATCAAACGCCCTTAATAATAGAAGATATTTTAGAAATAACAGAAGAAGCCAAGGATGAATTTTACGAATTCGAAGGTCAGAATTTCTCATCCGATTAATCGGATACTGAATAATTTGAAATAAATGAAAATTTACTTAATTGAACTAAACAAATTTTTTTACTTATTTTTATTTTTTGGTAAATTTTTAAATTTATTTTTATTAGTATCACTGTTGCTAAAATGACACAAAATACGCTGAGACATGTAAACATAGTTTCTGGTCGTGGATTGCGGATGAGTACACCATTTTTCTAGATTAGGCCATTTTCGCACTATACTCATTTTAGGTTTGCATTGCCAATAAAAACAACCATCATGGAAAATGTTACTCACATGCTATACAGATCCGCAATCTACGACCCAAAATTAAGTTTACGCGTCTCGGCTTTTTTTGTGGCATTTCAAAAGTTGAGATTTTCCTTATGGTGTATTTTGATTTAAAAGCTCGCCAACCGGAATCTAGGCCAGGTTTTTCGCAGCCAACCTTATATCCTCGTGTTCGGAATAAAATGTTCTTTATTTTGATACAATATTTATTCTTTAAACAAATGAGTGAAAATTACTAGTATTACTTACCTGTTTATACCTGCCAAGCCGATAGGTAGGTAGGCCAGGAAAAAAATGGACATTCCATTTTTTTCATATTCTATGTGCTTAATCTTTCGATTGGTATATAAGTTCATTAAACAATTGAGTGTAAAATTAAAAAAAAAATAATTTTTGAATATCTAATTAAAAATATCCTGGTCAGGACTTTTTCAGCCGACCCTCTCGCGAAATATTTCCTAACCCGTTAAATTTCATACAAAATAGATTTCATCCGCCAAACAGATGGGTGAAGGGCGTGCCTTTGTCAGATCTTAGACTATTATGAGGTGTATGTATTTATTACCTGTTTACCACGAAACTCAATTTGAAAATTCTTTGCAGATTCTTGTGTAACACGCCCTCCAAAATCCAACTGATACACCTGGCTCATCTCATTCCACATCGGCGCTTTATTATGCATAACAAATTCTCGTCTCACTGGAGCTGGATTTGAATAGATGGACGAACCGTTTGGCTCGATTTTTCCACGTTTTAGCTAAGGAATTATAGTAAGTATATATTTTATTTGGCGATTGAATACACATGTATGTATATATAATAGGGGGTTCGTCTAAGTGCGTAAATGCCTTGTAACTACGTAAACCCAGGCCCATCGGAAGGGAAAAGGTCAAAGTTTCTACGTGCTACATTGAGTAAAATTTTTTTCAAGAAAACTCAATTAAAAAACAAGAGTTTTAAAAATTTTTTAATTATCTGCAAAATAGTTTCAAACTAAAACTTTCTTTCTCACTTATCATACTTTTTCAATTAACTTATACCCTGAACTCAATTTGAGATTTTAAACAGATGGAAACTTCTTACATGTGGTTTTGAAATCAAGCCCTTTCGATACCCATATTGTAATAATTAATTTAAATTATTGAATAGTTTGACATTAAACTTTTAAACAGTTGGCAACCTTTTTAAACCTCTTTCGCCTGACACTTATGTATATTGTGATACATATTCAAAACAATTTCGATTCATACCAATATATACTAATATATATTTTGAAAGCCGTTTTTTTTTGAGTTTACAAAGCTCGAAATATGAAATCAATCTTATACTCATGGAAAATGATATATATATAATTCTTCTGTAGGTGTGTTTGTGAGTGAAATCCTCCTAAATTAGGGATGCAAGTCATAAAAATACATCGATGTTTTTTTCCATTTGATGCATCGAAATATAGCATCGATTCATATCGATATATCGTATATAAACATCGATAGTTTCGATGCATCGAATTGTTTATTCGCGTATTGACAGCTATTTTTGCTTGCAGCGATTTGCCAGCGAGAAAAAAAGCTGATCAAAGTCATCTGTTTTCAATTCATGAAAATATGGAAATTAATTTTAGATTTAGATTTAGTTTTATTATTATGATGTTTAAGTTTGAAATAACTTATTAGAACTGGAAATGTATCAGAAGCAAGCTAATACTCATATACTCATGTTTGCTTAGCAAATTGCTTTAGAAAAACTTTTAATTTATATTCTTTTCACGTTTTCTGTTTTTATGCTTTTGTATGTAAACAAAATTTCGATCAGCTGTACTAAAAACTTGCAAGTTTTTGCTAGTTTTGCGTTCGTGTACCCGCGCTAACATTTCTTTCTTTGAGAGAGATCAGATAAAAATTCATTAGAATTTTGCTGTTGAGAGTTTTATGCTGCGAGAATACGCGAGCACACTTAATATCAACAGGAAACAATCGGAGCTTCGATAAATGTTTAAGGGCCGGTTTTACAATGCAGTTTTTAGCTGAACTTAAGTTTTACTTAAGATTTTGCGTTTCACCAACCACTTAGGTTAAACTTAAGTCGCGGCCATCGGCGACTACAAGCAAACTAAGTCGCAAAACAGCTGATTTAGCAAACATATGCTTATGATAAATTTTGATTGAGAAGCAAAACAATTTGTCGGAAAAGTTGATGCATCGAAAAAAATACATCGATATATATCGGAACGTCCAAATCGATATTTTTTCTGCATACCTATCCTAAAGTCCCGGATTTTAACGAAGTTTTTCATAGCCGATAAGCGTGTCAACGGAAATCGTAAAATTTTTCAATGAAAAAATTAATTTTGGGCCAAACTCACTTTCGGATTTACAGTATTAGTAAGGATAGTAAGGATATAGAAATAAACATATATATATAAATTTAAAACAAAAAAGGCTATTTTCCGTTAGTGATCGTAGCACAGTTTTAGAATTTTTCTCGCAGTTCCCATCTGGGTAAGAAAATTTCCTTTCTAATAGCTTTCCGTTTATCGTCAGGAAGATCCAAAACGCAAAAAAATTACACACATACATACATATGTGGTGTGGAAAACCGAGGGAACTAAACAATCTTCAGAAAAATGTGACTCAATGTCCGAGATCTGAAGGGAAAAGAAAAAAAATTACGTATTTTCGAACGAATTTTAGTCAGCCCTTGCCAATTTTGGTTTGGAGACAAACCGGTTTCGGTGTTGTGCCATCTTCAGTATAATTTTTCGTTGACACAAACATTTGCAAAGCTCTACTCGTAAGCGTCACTCTATGAAATCGTTTTCTCATTATTAGTAACGTGCATGAGTGCGCCAATGAACTTTACATTTGACCCTGGTATCTTACGAGTAAAGTGTTCAAGGAAAAAAATTTTTTAAACAAAGTCTATGTTAACACAATGGAACTCTTGGTACCAATAACGGTACATACATATGTATGTATGTTGTATGTTATAATTTTAAGCTCAGATATACGTTCTTCAATAGCTTACAATTTTCTATTATTAATGCCGGAACACATATGTACATATTTATGCATATTGTATATGTAGGTTGTAGGCATATGCACTAACATACATACATACGCATACATATGTATGTGCATACGTACCTTTTGAAGTAGTTGTGCCTTTTGGAATGTTTCCAAATCACGATATTGTTTATTGTAATTGGCGCCGCCGTTTTCTTCGCCTGACCCATTTGTTCCGTTGCCTTCATCATCTGAACTTTCTATGAGACATTGTTTTTTACGATATCGCCGATTAAGCAGAGGTGAATTTAGTATGTGACGAATGGGGGAGCTACTTTGGCGCTTGTTCTTTTTGCTGGCAGCTGGCGAAGCTGGAGAGCTTCGCGGCAGGCGCTGTGGCGTAGCAGGCGGTGTGAGACGACCTTCATCGAGGTCGCGCAAACGGCTGATGATATTCTCTAGGGTTGTAAGTGCCTGCAAAGTACATAAATACATTTGAATAGGTGCCAATGAGGATAGACAGTTTAATATTAAAGCTGATTGGTACATATGTACAGTGGCGAGAGCATAAATACACTGACAAAAAAAGCGCGTTGTAAAAATGAATTTTTTTTTATTACCGTTTAAAAATTTTCGTATTTAAATCAAGTGAAAAGTGTTCAAAATTGAATATTTCCATTATACATACACTAGGTATAATGGAAATATGCAATTTAAATGCGCCTGTATTAAAATGAAGCATTTTTCACTGCACGGATGGCGTTTTGCACGTCTCGGATGCTTTTTCATATGTGATTATATATATACATATATAAATTATAATTAAGTATATGTATACAAAGCATGCACAGCGGTGACAACGCATTCACACATACATACATGGAGCATGTTTATCTGTGCAAATGCACTAATCGCGCGCTGTCATGTTGATGCAAACTCAACATTTGAAAAGAAATTTACATGTGTGGCTGTAGCTGAGTGTGTGAAGACACTTGATACAATTTGGTTGGTGCCAAGGGGGTCCGGGTTCAATTACCATCAGACGGAACATAAAATTATTATTTTTTCTTAATTACGAAAAAGCATCTGTGCACTTCACAACGACATATTTTATAACGCACATACTCAAATTTGAAATGAGTTGGGTTGGTGCTCTTTCATATGCGTATTTTTTTAAATTTAGCACGTAATTTTTCATTCCGAAATTTTTTCTCTCAGTGTAGGGACTCTATATTTTAACAAGTTTTCGCTACTTTTATTTTGTTTATTATTTTTGTTCATGAAAATATAGCTCGCTATCTAATATGTATATGTATATTGAATAAAGAAAAGAAAAACTGTTAATGCTAAGAATCAAAAGGGTGCGCTATTCAAATGCCAACCTTCTTTGTATATTTCCATACAAACATTTGAAATTTCGTTTAAATCGGTTTAATCGTTTTTATACGATGCGCGCACAAAGAAAACAGCAACATTTATATCATACAAAGTATATGTATATAGATGTTGAGATGAATACCTATACGCTCTTCCATGCAATTGAGCGGCATGTATGTATGTACATACATTAGGGCGTGTCAATTTGTATAGGAGATTTTTTTTTGAATATGCTCGTATAGCACCCAAGGATTCTACGTGGAATTCGAAGCAAATTTGCTGAAGAAACCTTGGGTCCAAAATCAATTTAGAGTTCCCTAAATTGCGAAAATTGGTTTCTTAGAATTTTGCTTTAGTGCCGTAAAGAAATGCTTAAATTTTGTAAACAAAAATACTATAAGGGTTTTTTTGGTACGAGGAATTAATTTCTGCGCTTAACTTTTTCTTTAAACCTTTACCAGAGGGAGTAACAGTGAACGTTTTCACATTTGCTTTGAAACCTATTTTCGCAATTTGGCAAACTCCAAACTCCTATGGTATACGCGCATAGTAAAAAAATCGACCCGCCCTAATGTACATACATTATAGATGCACCTCTAGCAATTTTTTTTTTTTTTTACCAAAAATCCATTCCGTAAATAACATTTACCTGCGCTTGCAATGAGACTGAAGCTTTTGCTTCCACAGGCGTTACCTCAACAGCATTTCCATTGATGCCTACTACGCCTTGTGTTTGTCCTAAATGATCATCCGGAGGTTTAACAGTATTTAAATTACTTTGTGCCTCTTTACGACGCCAGCGTGCCTCTGTTAATTGTTTAACAAAACTAAAACTATTTTCATTTTTACGTCCCAAAAGTGGCGTTGAGCTTTCCGTATTTGTTTCACTACTACTGCCTGTCTCTTTGCTTTTACTTCTGATGCCGAATCTATGCTTTCGTGTAAACAGTGGACTATCGGTGAAACTAGTGATTACATCCAATTTTTTCTTTCGCGGTGTACCGCCCTTTTTCCGTTGTTGCTGCTGCTGTATTTGTTTCTGTTGTTGCTGATCTTTGTACATGCTTTCTAAAGAGAAGTCTTTCTTTAGTGGGGTGGATACAAAACGTATCGTTTCTTCCTTTTTTGGATCGGCTTCCGTCAGCTTGGCCGTCTGACATTGTTTGCACAGCACGGAGGGATTAGCACCACGATGGCATTTGAAACAGTTTGCTGGGAGGTTAGTTTCGTTGCTGCTGGTGTTACCTTCAGCTATTTCTTGAAGTTTACGTGTAGTTTTCTCAAGGTCCTTGCTAGTTAGCTTCGTTTGACTGAAGACTAAATCACAGGAATCAAGACTTTTTGACTTGCCCGACTTTTCCAGTTTTGGTTTACGTGAATCCTGAAAAGAGATTGAGACATTTAATAACTGGGATCTCGAAACAAATGCGACTTGGGCTTTTTTAATATTTGATGCTCTGCTCAGTTTTTCTAATATAGGATTTAGTTTAGGTTATGCAGGCCTCAGTAAAAAAGAGTAGGCCAAAAAGGCCAATTGCGATGCCCAGAGGGTTTCTACGTGCTTATCCCTACATGTTTTTAAACAATCTCTAGTGAATCCTAGCAGACCTACCAAAGGAAGTGTTGGATGGATCCTATCTCTTATTCATCTCTGCAGCATGGCGGAAAGTGATCGATGGCCCAGTGTCACGTTAGTATTTCTGTCAGAAGCCTAACGTTTGGCTTTGGGAGTTTAAGCAAATCCGTGTTCTCGTTCTTCGAGGCGTGGCCAGAGCGATACCGCGCAGGTATGCATATTATAGCATTTGCCGTTCGTGTCTGCTCTCGTCACCTTCTCAACTTTTGAACACAAAAATCGTAGGGGAGGTTTTACGCTCTGGGCCGCTTCCCCTAACCCCATCTCAGATCCCTTTATAGCCACTAGTTCGCTTCCTCATTTCCCTGAATACCGCTATGTCCTGGGACCCGTTAACGACTGATTATGTGTTTGCTAAGAAGCTTGTACGGATCTTCGGCATATTGAATTAGTTGTTACCGATCCTAAGGCCAAGTTTAGATGGAGCTAGGCTAATCATGCTTACCTGTTTTGTCGCCATGCAAATTGCATATATCTCAGCCTGTTAACTCTGTAGTGATATGGGAGACTATAAGACTCTCTTAAAGCTATGACTACAGACCCTCTTCCGATGTCCATTTTGAAGCCAACCGTGAAAATGAGAATCGTTTAGAACCACGTCCCAGGTATTTCTGTCGGGAATATGGATTTCCAAGTTTTGGTCGAAGTCAGTTGCCGTAACCCACTGTACTAAACAACCACTCTGACGAGCATGATGGCGTGACCCTTGCAAATTGTTCGCAGCCTGTTAGGCGTTCTGAATCGTAGAGTGCTTTTAGCTGCGGCACTTTTTACGTATATTTCTATAGGTGGAATAACCGGGAGCGTTTCAATGAGTAGATTGCTCCCGTTGTGTACAATCATATTTATCGTTGCACCTTTCGCAGGTTGAGTAGATACATATGTTTTGGTTTCAACCGCCTCCCACCATACCAGCCCCCAGTCCTACTCAATTATAGTCTTATGGGAGTAGAACGCATTAAGCTCCTTCTTTTCCACTCTTGGGTGTTCGTTTTCCAGAAGAGCTTAGAGTCGAGATTAACCTCTAGAACTCTGCCAGATTTGACATTTAAAACCTAGACAGTTCCTTTGTAGCTAAGAAGGAGACTAGCCCTGTAAATGGTCGTTAGCTAGGAAGTTATAGCGACGCTGGTTCATTGTAGCATGGCTGGAAGGATTTGATAGCCCTTGCTACTTTATTCTCAGTGACGATTTTATCGCTCGGACTGCCTTGCCCATAGCTGTTAGGGTTTCTGTCACAAGACTGACTATATTACCACACTCAGGGAAGTGGACGTCCATCAGAAGTTTTATTCGAAAGGTACCTTCTCAATCGCGGGGCTTCAGTGGTCGCTTCGATGTCTTCAGAAAAGTTGCACCACGAAGCTCTCTTTGTCTCTTTCTTATGCGTCCCAGTTTCCTGCGTCCTTGGTAGACCTCCCCTATTGAAAGCTTTGCTAGGAAATACTTCGGTGCCCTTTTTATAACATAAAGAATTACTTATGTAGCTATTTCTATTGCACTAAAGCATTTGAATATTCAAAAATCCATAAAACGTCTCCTTAAGGCCTATTGCACTTCTTTATGGACGATTCCAGGTTGTATGAGAGAGTAGGGTACAAGGACTGTGTAACATCCCTTGCGGTTATGTGTGGATTAATTAAGGTAAAGTATTCTCAGATAGCTTTGGGAGAAAAGGAAGTGAAAATTTTCAAAATTTATACCCAGATCCATAAAAAATAAAGAAGTCTTTAACTGCTTTATAAATCGAAAATTTGTATGAAAATGTCACTTTTTAGAGCTCTTTGAACTTATTTTATTTTTTATGTATAAGGGGCTCATACCAGGACATACTTTTATTTAATAACTTGTCCATCTAACTAATTTGTAAGCAGATATCACATACATGCCCACGCAATTCCATTCAAAAATGTTAGAGAAACTTACCTCATTATTCAACCGCTTTTTCCTGGTTCTACGCTTGTCCACTAATATTAAACGCTTATTGGGTGCGTCTCTTCGCAAGGCCATCAAAGCTTCGTCGGACGGTGTTATAGCAACCGAATCTAAATAACCAACGCTACAACTACGAGTTATCGAATCGGGTAGAGCCGGTGCTATGGAGACTATCGTAGTTGTACGTTTCATGCGAACTTCCACCGGTGTAGTCGATAAGGGCGTGATGGGTATCAATGGTTGTTGCGTGGGCGACTGTGTTTCTTCGTCTATATATAGCATATCTCGCCGTTTAGTGTTATTGGTGCTAGCCGTGTTAGTAACTGTTGTGAAATTACTACCACTCGCACAAGTTTTCAGTCTTGCATCCATTCGTTCAAGGTTCAAATTAAGGTTTAATGGCACCGGATTTACGTGACTATTTGTAGATCGAATTAATTCGGGTAGTAAAGCGTTTTTTACTTGTACAACGTTGTTGGTGTAATCGGTGTTGGTCGAATAAGACATTACTGTGGTTTGACCAGTACCCGATACAGCTGGGCGCTCGAATATTATGTCGGTTGGGGCAACGGCATTTTTGGGTGATTGCAGTGTTGGTACCGAGCCGTCACAGTACAGAGGTGATATTGCGTGGCGTGACTGGCAGCTGGAATTTGAACTAGAACGACTGTAATTATTTTTAAAGCTGCTGTAACCTGGCCCTAAACTATTGCGAATTCCCGGCGTGGTGGCAGTAATATTTTTCGGACGCATAAGCTTGCTGTTATTTGATCCATTGGTGGCATGAATTAGGGTACTAGTTGGTGGTGCTGCTCTAGCGCCATTGTGGTGACCATTTACATCTTGCGACTCAGTTGAGGAATCATCATCGTAGGACTCAGCTTTGGCTAAGGGGCTTATGCCGGTACCCATTGTCAAAGACTGCGTAGCATTGTTATTTAATGAGTTTTTGTGTCGTGCCAATATGTGATTAGGTCGTGGTGACATCGGTGCAATGGGTGGAGATGAATCGTTTAGGCGGCGTTGGGCTGTTGATGTTACAGGTTTTCCTTGAGCTTCAGCATTTTTCACGGGTATTTGACCGTAATTGTTGCTATTTCTCTTGATGCCATTGAGTAGAGCTGCTTCATCTTCATCTTCGGAGAAAATGTTCGGATTAAAACTCGGATCCGGCCCCGAAGGAAAGTCATCACGCAATTCAGTTATTACTAGTGTCATTTGCCTTGGCTGCAGGTGTAATAAGGACGTTTTATACGTTACTTGGCCTAAATTGGCTGGGACGGTTTTAGCAAGTCCATGAATTTTAAATTTGGTACCCCATATATTTGAGGTGACCTCAACCAGTTTTTCCTCCTATATAAATTATAATAAGATGTAAAATTTTATTTAGAAAGTGTTATATGAATACATATGTATTTACTAACGGGATTGCGGTACGATAACGATAATATACGTATACATATGTATATATAATAACTTTTTATTAAAAAAAAAAATGTATGGCCAAATAAAAAATAAAAATGGGAAAATGGGAACATCATCATTCTCAACTGTTTAAAATATGAGAGAATTGCTATTAATAATCGCGAGAAAACAATTAAAATCTAAACATTTTCCGAAAATGTTAATAGCTATATTTCAAATATAATTCGAATTTCGAAAAATTTTGAAATTTTTATTTTTCTCTTATGGCGTTTTCTTTTCTACCGAAAAATGTTGCCTTCTCAGTGCCCTCTACGCACAAATACTAAGGAGAGGGCATTGAAAACGCCACAGTTTTTGTAGAAAAGAAATCACCATTAAACAGATAATTGCACAAAAAAGCTCGACCCTCGAAAAAATGGTGGCCCACTTCACAAATTTTTACTTATATGTATGTTAAAAAAATTTATAAAACTTTTGTCGGCAGGGTTCTTGTTTTCGGTGCCACCGGGTACGACACAAAATTCATTGTTCCCCGCAATTGTAATTAATGTTAATTCGTCTCGATGGTATGCATGATGAAGAACTACCACCAGTCAGCAATTAAAATCAGAAGTAAAGATAAAAATGAGAAATCCTAAAGGTGTTAACGGGTATAAAATTTGAAAAAACTTGCAAGAACAAGAAGAATACAAGCTAACATTTTTTTTCCTCAAACTGTCACTTTTTTTTTGCATCATGGAAGATGTATTGTGTGTAAATCAAATATTCCTTGCAAAAAATGTTTATCTATGCAGCGCAATGCAAAGTATGCATAACAGAGCCTTAACCGAGGATCTCAAATTTGCTAAGAAAATACTCTGCCTGCATGCCCACGCCGCATATCGTACCGCATCTACAATTTCGGGGAAGGCTAATATTGCCACTTATAACAGCAATTTAAGCGTCACAGTATTTGAAAATAAAACAAAGGCTTAATGTGGGTGCTTACTAGTGTTAGTAGGACCAGAAATATTAAGTAAAAAATGTGCTTATTGTATCCTAGGGGAAGAAAATTAGCATTTTTTCTTGCACTCTCTAGAATAACTCTATTGCAGATACGAGGTGAACGCAGAAATGGGACGATGTGTAATTTCGTTGCTTAAGGCCTGTATGCAGCTCTCAAGAAAAGCAAAAACTCCATATATAATGACGTACAAGAAATGGCTAAGAAATTTTCTTGAGTAAAATTTCCTTAAGGCAGTACGCAGTTCTTAAGAAATTTACTAAGTTTTCTAGTACGGTTTTCTAAAGTTTTTTGTGAAAAAAGAGCACAAGGCAACCCAGGCTTGCAACAGAAATATATGCCCGTTCCATTATTTCTTGAGGAAAGAGTGAGGCAACAGGCTGTGAGGTATCAAAAATGTCAAAATTCCTTGGACACACACGCGAAATAATGGCAATTTTTTCTTGACCGTTTTCTTGAGAGCTGCATACAGGGCTTTACTTAAGTGCGTAAATACATATCATTAAACCTTAACTCTGATAGAGATGAGTCGGGCACTTATTTATCTCCAATTACACCCATAAGGGATGCGTCGACACTAATTTATCTTCAATAATAACCGTATGAGATTAGTTGTGACCAATTAATACCCGATCGTATCCCATGGAGACTCATCCGGGTGAATAACTCAGTGAGAGGTTTATAAAAAAAAGATTTATTGGATAAAAAAATAGGTGGGTAGACACTGTGGGGAATGGTAATCATCTATTACCAAACCATTGTCCGGTGGTTGCGGTGGACTGGACGCTTTGAAGTGCATTCAACTTATTATTTAAGTAAATATTGTTATATAGCACTTGAGAAGTGCATACGCAAAAATTTCATAACTTACTAAACGAAATTTTGGGCGAATGCAGCTTTTTTTGCAGAATTTCTAGAGAAAATTGTATGTTTACCTACAATTTAATATTTATCTCCAGAGCTAAATAAAAATCTTCCTTGGCTTAGCCTAAGAACAAGTTGAGCTTGTCAGAAGTCATATTTCTTAGCCCTATTACGAAGTTCTGCATGTTTTAGTGCGCTGAAATAGTAACTATATATGTGCATACATATGTATAAACTATATACTCAGCATACTTCAGGAAGTGTATCCACATATGCCAGTTCATCCAAGCTATCCTGATCAGCAGTGGTGCTCATTGAATGCTTATCACCATTGCTTTGGCTTTGGCGTTTCTTCTGACGTGTTTTTCGTTGACGTTGACCACGCGGCGAGCCACGATATCGTTCTTCAAACTCACTATCGGAAGAATCAGTTCTTCCACTTTGTCCGGTGGTGGTGGATTGGCTCGATCCGGATGAACTTTTCCACTCCGGCGAGTATTGAAAAAATACCGGGGAATCTAATTGCAAAAGTTAAAAATACATATATATATATAATTCATCAGCTTAACCGGGAATTTTCTCATAATTTATATTTATACAAACCATTCGCTTGTGGATCAAATATAACAAATTCTGGACGTATTTTGGAAGTGCGTTTTCCTTTAAGCAATGGTACGAGACCACCCAAATACTCCAAATAGAGTGTATAGCATGTGCCCGTACTTTGGTTCGCGTCATCGTCGTGTCGAATCATAGTGCAATGCAAACGTGTCGAACACATTGGTGGTCGGGAGACGAACTCGCGTAAAGATTTTAAATCAGGTACACAGCACTAAAAGTAAAACCAAAGGCAATTTCGTGAATATTTTTGACTACAAATGTACACACAGTGTCTTAATTACTCTTATTGTTTGAGCAAAAAGATTGCCAATCAGACTCCTAATACGTGATGGCAACGGTAAGAGTGGCAAGGTGCGCTCCGAACCAATGCAGGATTGTATTTGTAGGCGACATAAAAGCTGAAGTGATGCTATACGTCTCGATACCCAGGCAATATGCACTTGGGTGCCGGTCGCAATAAATAGACGTTTGTCGTTGTGACCCCACGTCAGCGCAGACACCGGCGAAGAGGTATTTGGTAAGCGTGTCTGGTATAAAATATTTCCAGATTCTGTGTAAAATTTTAGAAGATTTTCATAAAGCGGTGAACCTTGCGGATCGACTATATTTAACGAAGTTTGCGATGTGCCTGCGACAGCAAGTAGTTCACGTGAATTACTCCATTCCATAACCATGCCTAGGCTGCCACTTAGCCCAGTGTTGATATGTGCAGGCGAAACATCATCGAATGACTTCAGCAAATAGATAAAACCATTTTGGAAGCTAACAGCCAAAACAAAAGAACGCTTAGCTAAAATAAAAGAGGAGACACCAATTTTTAGTGAAATACTTCTTGCAAACACGCTAGCATTCGATACATACAGGCATTGGTAACACCTGGCTCGGATTCCTCGCCCTCTTCCATTTTGAATTTTTCACACGACCATGCCATTGATGTTATGCCGACATCATTGCAAAGCTGCACCTGCGACACCATCGCGCCATGCACATCCATAACGATCACCTGGCCCTGCGTGGTGCCAAAGTACACTTGCTGATCGTCTGGCGTCCAAATGCCACAAGTAATGGTTGACTCCAGATTTAGCATTGACGACCAGTAGCGTTGACCGGCTACGGAACCGACCAGCACGAAGCCATCTTGATAACATATGAGTGCCATTCGTCCATCGTGTGACCAGGAGAAATATGTAACGGGTGTGTTGCGATCGTTGATCAATTCGATTGACCATCGTCCTTCGTACTTTATCCATACAAATATAATACCGGAGCTATCACACGATGCAAGTTTCTGATATGGTTCATTCCATTTAACCAAGATTACCTAGAAATAAGAAAAGTAGTAAACAGTTTTGCATTGGACCACACAAACCTAAATACTTAGATACATTTTTTGAAAATTAAATGCCAACGCAAAGCAATGACCCTAGTACAGTCAAAATACGAATCTGACGATTTAATAATACTGCGAGGTTTGGAAACAAGGGTGACCAGAGTTTGGTTTTAATCAGCGGAGTAGTTATTCAAGAACAGAAACAATGAAGACATGGGCTCACACATTTGTAGCCGTAAAGCTCAGTTAGTCTAGACTTAACTTAATTTAACTTACCGTAAGAATTGTCACTTTGCCGCCTAAAAAGCCACATCAAAAATGCATGAAAAAATATGTTTGCGTTCCGTTAGGCCGTAACTTAAGAATCTAAAACCAACAGGTTCTTAAGTTTCTTAGGGTAAGTTAAGTTTGAACTAACCGCCAACATAGTTTCTCATATAACAGGTTGGGCAAAGTATTAAGTTACGAAAATTAAGTCTAGACTAACTGAGCTTTTAGTCGCGGATTTTTGTTCTAGTTTTTTTTTGTCAGACTGGTATCTCACAAATTTTGGATGAAATGTGTATTGTCTTTGCAAATATGTACTTATATAGAATGCTTGTATGTGAGCAGTTACTTACATCTGATCGATGTCCACGCAGGTTGTAATTGGTACGCAGAGGAAAGTCCATATTTCGGCGACAGTGTGAAGTTGTAAATGTTACACCGACAATGCCACGTATATTTCCTGTAGCCAGCCATCCCTCTTGGTAATAATTTGTTCGATTTAATTTCCAACCTTCCTCCTGTTTAAAAATAAATCATTGTAAATTAAATTCAAATATTTTGAGCAAAGCTAATATAGACCGTTGTTCTTAAGTATTAGAATATAGTATTTGTCTCCTCTTATTTTTGAACCGCAATGCAGTGAAACCTATTTAAGTACTTTTCCACACAGATACAGTGTCTGAAAAAAGCTTTCAATAAAATATTCACAATTAGTCTGATCGAATAGAGCTCTAGTGAAAATTTTCCAGCAGTAACTTACAGGAGAGTAGTGAACGATTCTCTCTCAAATTGGAAACTATCGAAAAAAATGCGCGAACGTAAAATGAGAAAAAAACTTGCAAGTTTAGGTACATCTGATCGAAATTTTGTTTACATATCGAAGCATAAAACAGAATATTTGTGAAGAATATAAATTAAAAGTTTGCGTAAAGTAATTTGCTAAGCAAACGTAAGGCAATTACTAGTTGCTTTCTTCCTAAACATTTGCAGTTATTTTAAACTTAAAAATTATCGAAATAAATTTTATAATTTTCGTAAAGTGAAGCTCAGCGGTTTTTGTTTGCTAGTAAATTATTGCTTGTGAAACTTTTTTCAGCAGCTTTCTGCTCAAGCTCTCTGCCACTTTGCGCTCTCAATTCCCCCTAATTTTAAACCATAGCTCATCACTGCTGTGTTTTCCACTGCGCCTCAAAGTTTGCCGCTGCAACCAACATGCCGCTACAACACAAATTTTTAGATTTGGGTGTATTTCTCTAGCTTTTAGAATCGAATTTTTGTGGAATATTTTGCGGCGCACTAGAAATCACAACAGTGATGAGCTAAGTTCTGTACCTCTGTCAGAATAGAGGGGTAAGGAAAATTCTTTTCCAAGGAAAATTGTTGGTGTTAATTTTTATTTTATACAAAAATGTTTTAATATTTGAATTGTTCATATCAAGAGAATACACTAATTACAAGTATTTTTTTTTTAATTGTGATGCAACATTTTTATAATCTTATATAAATTCGACAAAAATTGCGTCACACGGCAACACTCAATTGGTTTGACAGCATTTGCAGCAAAAATGAAAATAGTTAGTGCAGCACGAGCAAGTTGAAATTATTTCTCGAAAGCGATTTGCGTAATTTCAGTTGTGGGTACACCTTGCAATGTTTATTTCCGAAAGAGATTTCGGCAAATCTGCGGAAAGGACTTTTTGTTTGTTTACACGGGAAAGCCAACTTTCGCTTTCGCATTTTGGTAGCAAAATGCGTAGAAAAAGCGTTTGCATGGCCAGGTTTAGCCACACTTTTACAACGTGCAAGTTGGAATTTAGAAAAGTATTTTCTAACAGCGGTCGCCTCTAGGCGAGCAACGGCAAACCTTCGAGAGGATTTCTACTTTGAAAAGGCTTCTCACAAAAACCATTTGCCGTTTGAAGGCGGCGTAAAATTATAAATTCCTCCATTTATGTTAGAACATCAAAACCCACACCACAAATTGGAGGAGAGGTTCCAAAGTGCTACTTAAAAAAAAAAAACAGGTTAACTGTGCTGAAACACCGTGTGACAGTAAAATTTACCCACAAAAAAGTTAATATATTCGCTGAACTAGGGACTAAAAAATTAGTAAAACTGCGTTTTTAGTTTTTCTCTATGATGTCAAGATATTTTTTGAAAGGACCTTGAAGTTTCAAAGGTATGATTAATTGAAAGAATTAAAAAAAAAAATTAGTGCAATGTAGAATAACAACATGTGTATCAAATGAAAGAGAAAATTTCGTAGAATTAAAATAAATACAATTTGTTGTTGCACAAGGCGAATAGGTATTTAAAATGTTCTTCTAACGTTTTATCTTTGCATATTCTTGAAAACTTGCAATATTTACTTGCGTTAAAAACTAATATTCACACGACCACATCTTAGAATTTCGTCCTTCTGACTTTATTTTATTAAAAAATAACTTTAATTAAAATTAATTGAAAATCAATACCTATTCGCCGTTGTGAACAAAAATACTTAATTTTTTTTTTAGTTCTACAGGTTTTAGTTCTATGGTTATTTTACATTGCACGGAATTTTTAAAATAATTTATGGAAAAAATCATATCTTTGGAATTTCAAAGCCATTTCAATAAATATACTGACGAGAAAACCTAAAAACAGAGTTTTACTATATTTTTTGTCCCTAGTTCCGCGAAAATATTAGGGCTGTTCCGGATGTTGTGGAAATGGTTTTGGATTTGCAGTTGGAATTGCATTTGCAAATATTTTGATTACGGCCATGGCAACCGTGTGCATTTTTATTGTTGTGAATTTACAAATGCAACGAACATGCAAATCCAAGATCATATGTACAAGATCCTGAACAGCCCTAATGATTTTTTGTGTGTTTTAGAATTTTTTGATTTTTGTCGCACGGTGTAATATATTCGTGTTTGCATTAAGATTTGTATCAAGGCGAATTTATATAAGGTGGTGTTACTAGCTCAGCTGATTTTGTGTATGTGTTTCGCCGCACGGCGTCTGATATCAAATTGAAAAATTTTGTTTGAATTTCTACACACACTCTTACAGATTTTGACAGTTTATGCCGCCAAAGCAAAAAAAAAATACATGTAAATTTTTGTATTTGTACTCCTGCTATCACCTTATATTAATTCGCCTTGATTTGTATTCCTATAATATATGTAGTTCTAAAGTACATATGTACATTATGCATAAATATATTTTTAATTTTATTTAAAAACTATGCAATTTTAAGTTTTCTATTCTTTTCACTCGAGAGAAAATGTTGAGCCACTTAAGACTTATCCATGAAATGAATTTATGCAGAAACAATTTTGTTTTGATTAACTCTTTATTTGGTTAACATTCACTTTTCTTAGCTTACTAAATTTTAAATACTCAAAGCTAGCCGTGTTACGTCTCTCAAAGAACGCCTGCCTATAGGCCAAAAGCCCAACGACCATGCATATGTGCATACATACATGCGTTCGTATGTACATAATATTGTAAAGCTTATACTTATATGTACATACATACATATGTACGCTTTGAGTACTTAAGAAATGCCTCTCCATACACCATGTCGTATGAGCAATGCCCAGATGTTTTTTTTATTGCATTTGCGTCTTTCATTGGCATCTTTTTCATGTAATAAAAGAAAACTCTCACGTTATTTATAAACAGGTTATGCACTTGAGGGCAAAACAGAGAGCCTCCTCAGATGGCGAATAACAGGTGTGTGTGTGTGTGTGTGCTGATAGTGCATCAAAAGAGTGCTTATGTTTTTAAACGATCAACATATGTATGTATAAGAAAATATTGCGAGAGGAACGGTCATATTATGAATGCACATACGAATTTTGAATATTTAATTTTATTTACAAGTTGATCGCCAAGTTTTCTTATAGAAGTGTTAGAATTTATTCATTATTCACAAGTGGGCATATCTAATAATTTTTGGCGCTCTCCCTGCATTATTTTTCTGTTTATACTCGCAATTTCATTTTCATGTGTACTCATGTGCAAATTTTGGCTCTCTCCAGTGAAAATTTAAATACATTTTCGAAGTTTCGAAAATATTTCAGTTTTAAGGAAAGGGAAATTTTCAGTTACTACGAGTACGCTGAGGCGACAAGAAGTGATCCAGTCGGTATGCTAAATTTTTCGCACTAAACAAATAATTTTGTTTTTGTTGCTAATAAGTATTTCACATGTTTTCGCACTCACATACGAAAATATCTTCACTATTGTACATACATACATATAATATACTACGATATATGTATTTAGAAATCTAAAAATCGTGTCATCGCGCCCACAAAAAGTCTCGAAATGCCTTTAACGAAATTGGCAATATGGCAATACGTGTTGATTTTTGCCGCTTTTGCACTAGAATGGATCGAGTGTAAATCCGTTTTCGGCATCGGTGCACGTATTATTAACGATCAATTAATACTAAAAGATGTTCTACAATCACGTCTCGTCGGAGTGGATAAAAATCCAGTAGTCGGCTTCAACTATGCAATTCCAGAGCCAATAACTTACATCGAAATAGTTTCGGAACAAGTAAGGTCAAATAAATTTTGGTCACAATACATCATTTCTAAATATACATATACACCGTTGGGTATGGTATTTACATAAATACATCCATGCGGGTAAATATTCGTGCAAAATTTTATAAACACCTAAATTTGAAACTATAAATTTGTACATACATATGTTTTTGTGGTGTGATTGCAAAATCGCGGCATTTATAAACCGTACTAGGAAGAATATAAGTGGCATTGGCCGGCAAACACGGCTAAATACAAATGGGCATATGAACATACATACATACATACATGTACGACAGTGCCAGAAATTTAGGCATACTACATCCATATACTACACATTTAATGAAATAATAAATTGTTCTCAAAATTTTGCTTCACATGCACTGACGATGAACTTCACATTTCCGTCGCAATATTTGGCGCACCATATTGAATATTAATAAGTTTATATATATATATACATTAGACTGCATCACCAAAAAAAGTTGCCGTTTTTCCGGCGAGATTACAAAATCTTTTATATTTAAAGACGTCCGCTAAAATATTTCGGAAAAGTATTAAGATTTACGCGAGCTGGACCGATTTGAAAATTCCTCCAAAAATGCAGTTTTTTATGAATAAAAATGGTTTCTTAAAGAAATTTTTGATTCAGAAGACAAAAAAGATTAAGCTCAAAAAATCTGCATAAAAATATTTCATAGTATTTTCAACGGAATCATAACAATGAGAGTTTTGATGCTGTTTTTTTTAACATTTTTCAAAGGATTTATTTACGAAAAACTTGAATAACTGGGTCAAAACTATTCTGATAAAGTCTTATGAGATCTCAGTAGAAAGGTGTTTTCTCATTCTTTTTATTTCTGCTGAAAAAAAAAACTCATTCATGTCCCAATTATTATTTTTTTTTTCAAATACCAACACATCTTAATTCAACTTGGAACGCCGCTCGTTCATCCTACCTTTCCCGTTCATCA